TGCAGCTGTTGTACTTGCTCTTGCTGCAGCTTCCGCTGCAGCTTTTGCTGCAGCAGCTCCTGTTCGAGTTGTTGCTGCCTCTGTTGCTGCTGCTGCAACTGCTGCTGCTCTTGCTGCAATTGTTGTTCGTGGAGCTGTTGCTGTTGCAGTTGCTGCTGTGGATGCTGCTGCTGCTGTAGCAGCAAATTGCTCTGATGCATTCGCGCCTCCTGCACCTGCAGCAGCTGGGCCTGCTGCTGGCGTGCCTGCTCCTGCTGCTCCTGCTGCAGTTGCAGTCGCTGCTGCTGCAGCTGCTGCAGTTGCACTTGCTGCTGTTGCAGTTGCTGCTGCTGCTGCTGCTGCTGCAGCTGCTGATGACGCAGCTCTTCTGCTGCAGCAGCAGCGACGGAGTCCGCTGAAGTCTCTCCTGAGACGCAAGACTCAAGCAGCGGAGATCTGTTGCCGCTGCTGCTGCTGCTTCTGCCGCTGCTGCTGTTGCTGCTGCTGCCGGTGCTGCTGTGTCTTGGGTCGTCCGTAGAAGTGCTGACAGCCTCATCGGCAAGACCCTGGATCTGCTGCTGCTGCAGCACTTGCTGGTGCTGCTGCTGCATCTGCTGCTGCTGCTGTGCCTGCTGCTGCGCTTCTGCTGCTTGCTGCTCTGTGTCTGCTGCTGTTGCAGCAATAGAAAGGCTGTTCTCGATTGTGACAGCAGCCAAGCTGCTGCGGCGAGCCTGCTGCTGCTGCTGCTGCTGCTGTAGCTGTTTTTCGAGCTGCTGCTGCTGGAGCAGCTGTTGTTCAAGCTGCTGCTGCTGCTCTTGCTGCTGCTGCAGCGCCAGTCGCAGCTGCTGCTCGCGCTGCTGCTGCAAATAGAGATGAGTCTCTTGTCTCCTTTTGAGAGTCTCAATATCAAGAAGAGAAACAGGCGCAGGTGGCCCCTCTGTTTCTGCTGCTGCAGCAGCAGCAGCTGCTACTTCAGGTGCTGCTGCTGCAGTGGTCGCAGCAGCTGCTGCTTCTTCAGGTGCTGCTGCTGCTGCTGCTGCTGCAGACGGAAGCAAAGCAGCAGAAGAGACTATTTCTAGAGACACAGAAGCCCCCATTGTGCTGCGAGAAGGCAGCAAAGGCAGCTGAACAGCAGCAGCAGCAGCAGAAGCAGCAGCAGCAAGTGGCCGCTGACGAGAGCGCGAGGCGCTGCTGCTGCGGAACCGCGGGCCGCTGCTGTTGCTGCTGCTGCTGATTAGCGACAGAGGAGAGAGACTACGCCTTAGCTTCAAAGGCAAGCTGCTGCTGCTGCTGCTGCTGCTGCTGCTGCTGCTGCTGCTGTAAGGCGACGCATCGGCCTCTTCACCAGAAAGCTGCTGCTGCTGAGTGCTCTGGCTTGAGGTCTCTGCACCTTCTGCAGTGCTGGTGCTGGCCTTTCCGCTGCTGCTGCTGCTGCTGCTGCTGCTGCTGCTGCTCTTGTCTGCTGCTGCTGCTGCTGCTGCTGGTGATGGCTTTGGACGGGGGAGGCCACTCTGTTTGCGGAGGGGCCGAGCAGCCGTAGGTGTCTCATCGGCGTCGCTGCTGCTGCTGCTCCAAGGTGCTGCTGCTGCTGCTGCTGCTGCTGCTGCTTCTGACTGCAGTGCTGCAGTGCTGCTGACGCGCCACAGCGAGGGGCGGCAGCTGCTGCGATTGGTGTTGCTGCAGGGCCGGGTAGCAGCAGCAGTTGCTGCTGCTGCAGCTTGTCTTCCGGCCCTGTTGCTGCTGCTGAAGGAAGAACTCTTGGAAGCAGCAGCAGCAGCAGACCCTGCTGCTGCTGCTGTCCTGGGCAGCGGCCTGCGGCTGCCTGCTATCTTGCGAGACACAGCGCGAGAAGGAGCAGCAGCAGCAGCAGCAGCTGAAGGTGTGGCAGCAGCAGAAGCAGCAGCGCTGCGGGTCCTTGCGGCCACTGGCTTCCGCTGCTGCTGCTGCTGCTGCGGAGAAGCAGCAGCAGGACTCCTTGCTGCTGCTGGACCCAATGTGCTCGAGATAGACCGCGAAGGCTGCTGCTGCCCTTTGCTGCGCAGGCTTCGCAGCTGCTGCAGCGGATGCTGCAGCAGGTCCTGCTGCTGCAGCTCCTGCTGCTGCTCGCGGCTCGCGGGAGTCCGCGCACTGGAGCCTTCCCGTTCTGCTGCTCCGTTGCTGCTGCTGCTGCTGCTGCTGCTGCTGCTGCTGCGGTTCTTTCTGCTTGCATACGAGTGCCATTTCCTGTCATCGACATCATCAATTGCTGCTGCTGCGCTGCTGCTGCTGCAGGCAGCAGCAGAACTTCTTCGAAGCGGTGAATCGCGCCCAGACTTTGTGGCTGCTCTTCCTGTAGAAGCCGCAGCAGCAGCAACTGCAGCAGCAGCAATGGGTATGCTGCTGCTGCTGCTTTCTGGACTTACGTGGGTGTGCAGCAGCACCTTGTCTATTTGCTGCTGCTGCTGCTGCTGCTGCTGCTGCTGCTGCTGCTGCTGCTGCTGCTGCGTACCTGTTGTTACGTGAGATTTGGCTCGAGTGCGAG